CTCCAGTACAGTTTATGCATTGGACGCTTGAATATATCTCAGAATCTCTCTGATTTACATCTATGTACATATGTACACTGTAAACCTTTATTATTACTTCATCCCTCATACTCTCCTCCCCCTCCAACCTACATCCTCTCCTCTCCCTCCAACCTATATCCCATCTTGTCCAGTATTTACATTAGTCCTGGATACTGCACTCCACTTTACATGAATGGTTTATCCACCATTTCCTCCTCATCAAACAAAGCAAATGCAATCTTATCAATGTTGACAATATTACTAATGACACAGGGCGGGGAGTCTAAATCAATGAGAGGATCTCAACTGAATGGATTTAACTGGAATAAGTTTATCTTATTTTTATCTGCAAATCTTCATTTTTCTCTTGGTATAATACTGATCTAAGTAATGGTAGAGAATGTCCCTCCTCCCCTGCCCATGAACTAAGTGAAATGTGTGTGGCAGGAATATTGATGTTCATTTAAACTTAGCAGTGTATTACTGGAAATCATTAGGTTAGATAGTATCTAGTATAATTTAGGAATAATAAATCATAATTCTATAGGTTTAGGGCACATCACGGAGGGAGAAGTATTATAAGATGGGAGAATGAATTAAAGGAATGGTAAGGGGAGGGATGGAAGGATAAGAGACTAGGTGGGGAGATGGATAGAAGGATAGGAGAATAGGTGGGGAAAGGGATAGAAGGATAGGAGACTAGGCGGGGAGATGGATAGAAGGATAGGAGACTAGGCGGGGAGATAGATAGAAGGATAGGAGACTATGCATGGGAAAAGAATGGGTGGATAGGAGACTAGGTATGGGAGAGGAATGGGAGGATAGGAGACTAGGCATGGGAGAGGAATGGGAGGATAGGAGACTAGGTAGGAAGAGGGATGGAAGGATAAGAGACTATGTAGGGAGAGGGATGGAAGGATAGGATACTATGTATGGGAGAGGGATGGAAGGATAGGAGACTATGTATGGGAGAGGGATGGAAGGATAGGATACTATGTATGTGAGAGGGATGGAAGGATAGGAGACTATGTATGGGAGAGGGATGGAAGGATAGGAGACTAGGTATGGGAGATAGATGGAAGGATAGGAGACTAAGTAGGGAGAGGGATGGAAGGATAGGATACTAAGTAGGGAGAGGGGTGGAAGGATAGGATACTAGGTAGGGAGAGGGATGGGTGGATAGGAGGCTAGGTATGTGAGAGGGATGGAAGGATATGATACTAGGTATGGGAGAGGGATGGAAGGATAGGATACTAAGTCGGGAGATGGATGGAAGGATAGGATACTAAGTAGGGAGAGGGATGGAAGGATAGGATACTAAGTAGGGAGAGGAATGGGTGGATAGGATACTAAGTCGGGAGAGGGATGGAAGGATAGGATACTAAGTAGGGAGAGGGATGGAAGGATAGGATACTAAGTAGGAAGAGGGATGGAAGGATAGGATACTAGGTATGGGAGATGAATGGGTGGATAGGAGACTAGGTATGGGAGAGGGATGGGTGGATGGGAGGCTAGGTAGAAAGAGGGATGAGAGGATAGGAGGCTAGGTGGTATAGGAGAGCAAATACTTGAGGATATGGGTATGTACCTTGTATGTTTGAAGGGTATGGAGGAAACTGAATGACAATCCTAGATTAGTTTTATCCAAGTATTCATGCTAGATGATAAACCATGAGATAAACCTAACTCCTCTCTTCATTCATAATTCAGATCTGCAGGAAGGATTTAATCTCGTTACTAGCAATTATATAACTTAATCATGGAAGAATTCTTA